GAGGGGTTTGATAGGCAGGCAGGGAAGAACACATTGGGATCAACCATAAGCCTACATGGCTTCAGTCACCCTCTTTATCCTGATTACTGCTAAACTCCTGTGCCTGGCTCAGACCTCTCTCCCGAAATCTTCTGGTGTGTGGATGTGCCTATTTATCTCCCCTGCATGTCCCTCAAGACCTTCACCTGAATTTCTCTTCCTCACTCCCTTCCAAATCTGCTCCTCTGTACTTTTACATCAGTGGCTGGTACCACTGTCCATCTAGTCCTCAAACTAAGAACTTGGGAATCTTCTTGTCTTCTCTTCTTCATCTCTGTCCTTCTCCATCTGCCCCAGTTCTTGGTGACTTACCCCTTGATTATCACTTCTGTCTATCACTCTCTACCCTTTTTTCCCCTCAAACCAAGCCTCTATCACCTCTTGTCTGTTCAAAACAAACATTCCCTTAATTGACTTACATCAAATCTTGCTCCCACCACAATCCATCTTCCACACAGGAAAGACACAAAAGCACTCTTCTTTATTTTCTTTTTTTTAAAATGCAGTTAAAAAAAACAAAACTGACCCTCCTTACTCTCCTTCAGCTTCTCAGGAATTCTACCAGCTAGTGTACACTGATCTTAGTAACTGAACATTTATTTTACTTTATTTACTTTTAAAAATTTTATTTACATAATATATATATTTTTTAGCACTGAAAACATTTTGTATTGGTGTATAGCCGATTAGGGCTTCCCTGGTGGGTCAGACAGTAAAAGAAACTGCCTGCAATGCAGGAGACCCGGGTTCAATCCCTGGGTCAGGAAGATCCCCTGTTAGAGGGCATGGCAACCCACTAAAGTATTCTTGCCTGGAGAATTGCATGAACAGAGGAGCCTGGTGGGCTGCAGTCCATAGGGTCACAAAGAGTTGGACACAACTAAGCGACTCACACACACACACACACACACACACAGTCAGTTAACAATGATGTGATAGCTTGAGGTGAACAGCAAAGGGACTCAGCCATACATACACATGTACCCATTGGGAATCATTGTTCTAATACACAATATCTCATCAGATCACTTGATGGCTTCCCATGGCCACCAGGACAAAGTTCAAAATCCTTGCTTGGCCTACAAAGGTCCTGCAAAAAGGTGACTCCTGTCTAGCTTTATGTTATGTCTCTCTTCCCTTTGGTTTCTCCACTTCAGCTGTGCTTAGAGTTCTCAACCTCAGGACATGCCAGACTCTCTCATCTCTGTGCCTTTCTTGGGGTCTTTGTCTCTGGTACTCTAGACTTTTAAGTCTTCCTGTTTTATGCTCTCATAGCCACCCTGGATGTTTCCTTTGTAGCTCTCCTCATTCCGTGGGGGCCACAAGGTGACAGGACATGTACGTTTGTGTTCCCTGCTCAAGTTGTTAGCACAGTGGTTAGAACAGAATAGGAGCTCAGTAAATACACTCTGAATGGCAATAGCCGCTTAACTGGTCTCCCTTCCTCCACAGTCTCCCCTTCCAGCCTATCTTTTCCACTGCCCCCAGGGTGATCTCCTAGGCCTTGAATCTCCACTCAAATCACGTTTGAGGTAAAAAAAGAATTCTCCCCTTCTCCTTGAGAATGAAGTCCAAATGCTTTTGTATGATATGACGTCAAGATCTTCTGTAATCTGGTTCTAAACTTACATGTTTAGAATAACAAATAACTTTGTCTCAGTTTCTGCTTAGACTAGCCCACACTCCAGTCAGATGGACCTGTGCTCTTTTCCAGGCCCATGCCTTACTCTTTCTAACCTATGTGCCATTGCTTCTGGTGATACATCCACCTCACAAGCCCTCACCGTGTCCTGCCTGTTAAGTCCCATCTCTCTTTCATGAGCCGACTTAAAAGCCTGCTCTGAGGCTTTGGCAGTTCCCTCTCCCAGCTGGAAATGACCACTGCTTCCTCCCCACATCCCCAGCCCTTTTCACCTTCCCCTGTGGCACTGATCCCATTACACGCACACAAGGCGAATTCTTCACGAGGCCGTAAGCTATAGGACAGAGGGCCCCGGTCTTTTCTGTGTGGCTGACAAGACTCAGGAAACAGGAGGGGGGCAGGGCCCCTTGCTTCAGAATCTCCCAAGTGTGGCCCAAACGCGAGCTGCTTCAGTATCACCTGGGGGCTCGTTAGTCACTCACCATCTTCGGTCTCCCAGACATCCCAAGTCAGAATCTGCATTTTAACAAGATCCTCAAGTGATCTCCATGTGCATTCATGTTTAAGTAGTGGACTGTTTATTAGATAAGAGAACGTGCCTCCTCCAGATAGGACAAACACCACATCTTACAATTCGTCGCTCTCAGACCTCGGACCGGTTTACAGTTTAGTTGCACAGTGTGTGTTGCTGTTTCAAGAGCTAGTTTCATTGGGCTTTTAGTTTGGGATCCTCCCCTTCTCCAGTGTCGTGGGAGGAAGCCTATTTTAGGCACGGGAGACTTTGCTCCTGGTGGAGGGCTGTGGATGCCCAGAGCTGGCTCCAGTCAGCAGGGGAGCTGGGATTCTCCACAGCTTGCCTTAATCAGCGCAGCCTCTGGCCAAGCTGTGCGTCAGGCCTGGGGTCCTCTGTTAATCATCAGTGAAAGGAACGCCACAGAATGATGTCAAGTGAGCTCTGGGGCTAACCACTCCTAGAAACATCTGGAGCTGGCAGCGGATCGTGACTATGAATACAGATGAGGGGGAACAATTGAGTTTAATCATGGTTGTTAGTGTCTTGTACAAAATGTATTTGGGTTTTGATCTAAAGAGGCAAGCTATTAAGCAATATTTGTGCTTCTTAGGTATTAGAAGAGAGGTCAAGACTCCATCAAAATAACTTTCTTTCCTGAACTTTCTCCCCAGATGGTTTGAACAAGAACACCCTTGTCGTCTTCTCACTTAATTATCAGCATAGCCTCAGTGTTGTGCTCCCGACCCACGTTGTCTGCAGCTGCTGATGGGTCATGCGGAGCAAGATTGTCTCACTTCTTTGCAGTTTTGGAAAGTGGCAAAGCCTGCTGTTTTTGCCTCAGGCGTGTATTGGCTGATGAGTTCCTGCCCAAAAAAACCTCCCCTCTCATTTGAGTTGCTTGGCTTCTCGTCAAAACCACACCCAGGCTGAGTCAGGAGTGTCTTCAGACTAGCTTCTGTCTGTCACTGGGAAAGAAGGACAAAAATGTCCTTCTCCCACAGAGATGACAAAACAAAAAAAAGCAAGGCTTGCTGACATTGGCGCTGTCACAGGGCCCTAAGTGTGTGCATTTAATCAGCACTGTCTGTTGTCACACAGGGTTTTGCCAGGCAAAGAAACAACTGGTTTGAATAAGAAACTGGAAGATGAACAACAGACCGCTAAAGGAAGCTGATCTTTCCCTGAGAAAGCTGCCGCTGGACAAAATCGGGAAACAGACACACAGAACACTTTCTCTTCACCTATTTCCCTTTACAAGGTGGATCAGTCAAAGTTCTCGGGAGAAACAGAAGCAATAGAAATATATCCATATATTCCTCTTGGTATGTATATGTATCTTTTTTGAGGGAGAAAGAGAGAGGGAACAAGTAGAAATCTTAAGGAGTTGGCTCACGTGCTTGTGCGGGGCTGGCAAGTTAAAAATCCTTAAGGCAGGCCAGCTGGCTGCAAACTCAGGCAGGATTTCTGTGTTCCAGACTTGAGACAGATTTCCTCCTTCTCCAGTACAGCAAGGCAGTGCTGGCATTTCAACTTCATGTAGTAGAGGCCATCGTTTCCATATTTTAGCTAAACAAACTTTTAGACTGGGTGAGTGCCTGCTGCCATTTCTGGTTATTCAAGGTTGTTGGTGTGGTTCACAGAGGAAATATGGTAGGGTTCCCTGGAGAACTAGAAAGCTAGGAAGGGTAGACAGGGACATTTGTCTGATGTTCCCAGCATGTATCACAAGAATCTCTGGGGCTGTGTCAAGAGAGCCATACTCATGGGTTGTCACGTCTCTCAGGAGAGGTCCATGGTAGGCAGTGACTGAAGAGCTAGTCTAAGGCCGTCCTTTGCCTTTAAGTCACAATAGTTTAACCTTCCCTGTTCCATACCGCCCAGTTCCACTAAGCTGGCCAATTCTTTTGAACTGAAAGAGTACTCCTCAGTCTCTTCCAGTTCTCATTGCTCCAAGGAGCCAGAGAGAAGATCTGATTGTGCCCAGCTGCTCCCAGGAGGAAATTGTGACCTTGGGTTGGGTAGAGTTCTCAAATTTAATACCCGAAGCACCACCTATAAAGTTAAAAAGTGATAAATTGGACTTCATCCAAATAAAAATGTTTATGCTTCAAGAAAGGATGCCCTCAAGAATGTAAAAAAGACAACCCCCAGAGTCAGAGGTAATTTTTAGAAATCATTTATCTGATAAGGGTTTGTCAGAAGAAAGAACTCTTACAATTCAATACTAAAAAGACAACCCAATGAAAATTTGGGCCAGGCTCTGAATAGAAAATTCTCCCCCCAAAAGATATAAAGTGGCTAATAAGTACATGAAAGTATGCTCAGCATCATTAGTCATAAGTAAGTGAAGTGAAGTCGCTCAGTCGTGTCTGACTCTTTGCGACCCCATGGACTGTAGCCCAGCAGGCTTTTCCCATGGGATTTTCCAGGCAAGAGTACTGGAGTGGGTTGCCATTTCCTTCTCCAGAGGATCTTCCCCGCCCAGGGATCGAACCCGGGTATTCCGCATTGTAGGCAGACGCTTTACTGTCTGAGGCACCAGGGAAGTCATTAGTCATAAGGGAAATGCAAATCAAAATGACAAGATACCATGTCACACTTACTAGGATAGCTGTAATCAAAAAGAAGTAGTATATGTTGGCAAGGATGTGGAGAAATTAGAATCTTCCTATATTGCTGGTGGGAATGTAAAATGACTACATCGTTTGTAAAACAGTCGGGAAGCTCCTTAAAGAGTTACTACATCACTCAGAAATCCCACCTTTAGGTACACACCCAAAAGAAATGGAAATAAATATCCAGCGGTCGGTGTCGCTGCCCCTGCCCCGCATCCAGGTCATCATGACGAGCTCCCCCGAGGTGACCAGCATCAACCAGGAGGCGCTGGCGCTCACTGCCAAGGCCACGGAACTCTTTGTTAAATGTGTCCGACTCTTTACAACCCCGTGGACTGTAGCCCACCAGGCTCCTCCGTCCATGGGATTCTCCAGGCAAGAATGCTGGAGTGGGTTGCCATCCCCTTCTCCAGGGGATCTTCCTAACCTAGGGACTGAACCCGGGTCTCCTGTATTGTAGGCGGATTCTTTACCATCTGAGCCAGCAGGGAAGCCCCTTTGTTCAATATGTCACCACCTATTCCTACAGACATGGCAGTGGAAAAGAAAAGGAGGCACTCACCTCCAGTGACTTATCAAATACTGCAGAGGAGCCAGAAGCTTTTCAGTTCGTTGCAGATATATTACCAAAGAAGATTTTAGCTAGTAAATATCTGAAAGTGCTTAAGGAAAAGAGGGAAGAAGAAGAGGAGGAGAATGACAACAACGATGAGAGTGAGGTCGATGAAATGGAATTCTACCCCCCAAAAATCAGCCTGGTGAGGACCCTCCTGGATTAGCACCTTGACTCTGAAGCAGGCCTTAGTCTGCCCACCCCCCAGAGACTTCACGTACATTATGTTCTTTCCTGGCTGAGACGGAGCATAATGTACCTCTGCCATAAATAGCCAACAGGAAAGGAACGCAGACAACAGCCTCCCTTCCCCAGGCCCCCACCGCAGCTGGAGTGGTGGGCCGGAACGGGCTGCCTACCAGGAGGGATAGTCAGTCTGCAGCTCTAAGCTGTAGGGGCAAAAACAACTTCGCTTAACTTTCTAGTTTACAGAGAGATTTTGAAGAACTTCCAAATACCGCTTGTATAGATTCACATATGTATATTTTGAAATTAGTTCTTGTAAAAAGCTAGATCCTGTTTTAGCTAAATATGTAGTCTGTGAGTAGTGTGTTACATTTGAAATTTGGTATTTCAGAACAATCTGGCTTTGTATTAGCCCAAATACTGCATTTTTTAAAACTGTAAAATGCATTTTTCTTTTTTATTAAAACAAACTTGCACAAAAAGTTCACAGCAGCGTTATTTAGAATACAAGAGTGAAAAAGAATAAACAACCCAAATATCCATCAACCAATAAGCAGATAAATAAAAGGTGATGTATTCATACAATAGAATGTTATTTGGCCACAAAAAGGAATGAAGTAAATATACAAGCTACAACATGGATGAACCTTGAAAACATTATGCTAAGTGAAAGAAACCAGTCACATAAGACCACATATTATGATCCCATTTATATGAAATATCCAGAATAGGCAAACTTATAGATGCAAAAAGTAGATTAATGGTTGCCAGTGGCTAGAAAGTGGGAGGAAAGTGACTCCTCATTAGTTTCTCTGGCGGGTGATGAAAACATTTTCAAATTAGTGGTGATTGCTGCCCTACTTTGTGAATATACTAAAAACCACGAATTGTATACTTAGAGGATATCAATGTGAATGTATGGCACAAGAATTATATATCAATACAGTTATTGCCAAAGAACTAAAAGGTCCATAGCTCTCTATTGCTGTTAGCATTAAGTCCAAGGTTCATTGCCTGGAACATGAGAGCCTTCACTACTAAATACATGTCTAATCCTTGGCATGCACTTGCCGCATCTAAGCATGCTAGATCGCCTTCTCTCCGTTCTCCCACCAGACTGTGCGTGACTACACAATTGTGCCTTTGCCCCTGTTTCCCTCTAATGTCTCCTCTGCCTTCTGTGTTTGGTCAATGGCTACTTATTTTTCAGAAAGCATCTCAAGCCTCTTCTCTCTCCCTGATCCCCACTCTCCCAGGCCAAGGGTTCTTCTTCCCTCTTCTCTGCCACAACTGTTCACAGCACACACCTGTCTCACTGCTCTTCTTACGTTGTGTGGCAGTTGTCTGTATTTACCTGTTTGTCTGTCTGCTTAACTAGATGATAAGTTCATTGTGGGCAGGAACCATGTTGGATTTACCTCTCTATACCCAGCACCTCGCAGAAGGCCTGATAACACAGTAGGATTTAGGTACATGTTTATTGGTTGAAGGAATGAATCTAAGTAGATTAGCAGTTACTCATAGCCTGTCGTCACTCCGGTTTATCAGAGGGGTATCCAATGACTCATGAGCTGGCAATGAGATTTGAACTCATGGAAGAAGAGGGCAGACATATCTGGGGAGCATGGAAGGCAAGCCTGGCCAGAACACTGCAGTGCAGAGCCCTGAGCAGCCAGGAGACCAACAAAAGCATGTGACTTGGGGGGGGGTGGTAGAGTAAGATTCAACACCACCATAGTGGGCCTAAAAGCAGCCACCAATTCAGAAAGCATTAAACCTCAGCGTGGAAGGATCACGGGTGTTGAAAGAAGTAGATAGAAAGGGGAGGGAACATCAGTACTCAGGACTCCTCTTAATCCCACTTGCCTGAAATCATTGACTCACTGGGTAGGGATTGTGTCTGATTCCCTTCTGAAGCCCTATACCTAGCACACTGTTAGTCTCTCAGCTGTGTCTGACTCTTTGTGACCCCAAGACCGCCAGGCTTCTCTGTCCATGGGATTCTTCCAGGCAAGAATATTGGAGTGGGTAGCCATTCCCTTCTCCAGGGCATCTTCCCAACCCAGGGATTGAGCCTGGGTCTCATGTATTGCAGGCAGATTCTTTATCATCTGAGCCACCAGAGAAGCCCTGGCATCAAATAGCTGTTTGATGAATGAAGGATCTTTGGTTGCCTCTCAAAGTCATAGCAAGTTTTCTTCTAGAAGTTTTAGAGTTTTAGCTCATACATTTAGGTCTGTAATCCATTTTTAGTTAACTATTGTATATGATGAACACTAAGAATCTGAATTCCTCTTGATGTGCACATCCAGTTGTCCCAGACCATTTTTCGAAAAGATTATCCTTTTCCAATTGACTTGCATTGCCATGTTTGACAAAAATTAATCAACCATAAGTGGACTCCCAATTTTCTCCCACTGAATGCTTTTGCCTATCCTTGCCCCAGGATTAAACTTAATTGATTTGTTGCTGCTGTGCTGTGCTGATGTTTTGCGACCCCATAGACTGTTGCCCACCAGGCTCCTCCGTCCACGGGATTTCCCATGTCATTTCCTATTCCATGGGAACCTTTCTGACCCAGTGATCAGTTTGCATCTCCTGTGTTTCCTGCATTGGCGGGTGGATTCTTTACCATTCTGCCACTGGGAAGCCTTTAACTGATTATTGTGGCATTATACTCAGCTTTGAAACCAGGTAGTTCTTCATTTTCAAAATTGTTTAAGCTATTCTAGGTAATTTGTATTTCTCTACAAATTTTGGGACCAGCTTGTCAATTTCTACACAAAGCCCTGCTGTGATTTTGATAGAGTTTGGATTGGCACTGTATATAAATTTGGGGAGAATTGTCATCCTGACAATACCAAGAGTTTCAAATCCATGACCATGGATTCTATCTGCATTATTAAGATCTTTATTGTTCTGCCACTATAATAATTTATAGTTTTCAGTACACTGATCTTTTTCACATCTTTGGTTACATTTATCCCTAAGTTCGTATTTTTGATGCTCTTGTAAATGGTATTTTAAACATTTAACTTCTGATTTCTTATTGCTGAGATATAGAAATAAAATTGAATTTTGTATAATGACCTTTTATTCTCTGTCTTTTCTAAACCTTCTATTAGTTCTATATTTTTATGGATTCCCTGGAATTCCACAAACAGGATCAAGTCACCTGCAAATAAAAACAGTTTTACTTCTTAATTTTCAATCTGGATGCCTTTGATTTAATTTATTTATTTGTTTGTTTACTACATTGTCTAGAACTTCTGATTCAATGTTAAATACAAGTGACAAAAGCATAGACTCTCACTTTGTTTCCCATCTTATGGAGAAGCATTCAATCTTTCAACATCAACTGTGATGCTAAGATGTGGTTTTGTTTTGTTTTTGAAGATGATACTTATTTATTTTGACCAAATCTTCTATTCCTAGTTTGTAGACAGCTTTTATCATTACAGGGTATTGGATTATGGAAAATGCTTCTTTTTGCATCTATTGAGATGATTATAAGGTATTTCCCCATTATTCTATCAATATAATGTATCTCATGAATTAATATTCAAATGTTTAATTAACAATGTAGCTGGAAAAATTTTCACTTGGTCATGGGCTATAATACATTTTATATGTTGCTGAATTTGAGTTGCTAATACTTTATTAAAGATTGTGTCTTGATAATGGGTGATGTTGATCTGTACTTTTGGGTTGTTTTGTGTATGATGTGTTTCTCTGGCTTGGAGTCAGGGTAATTCTAACCCCATAGATTGAGTTGGGAAGTGTTTCCACCATTATTTCTTGAGTGAGATTATGAATAATAGATATTACTTCTATTTTAAATGTTTAATATAATTCACCAGTGAATCCATCTGAGTCTGGGTTTTTCTTTGTGAGAAAATATTCAGTTGCTATATCAATTTCTTTACTTGGTATATGTTTCTTCAGACTTTCTATTTCTTCTTTGTCAGTTTTGATAATTCATGTCTTTTTAGAAACTTTTCCATTCCGGCTTTGTTGTCTAATTTTTGGCATGAAGTTTTTCATAGAATTTCATAATCTGTCATAATCTGTCATGTTGAAAGTGAAAGCTCTTCTTTAATTCCTAACATTGGCAATTTGTATCTTCTTTCTTCTTGGTCAGTCTAGCTTATTATTTGTCAATTATGTGGATCTTTTTGAAGAACCAAGTTTTGATTTAATTGTTGTTCTAATTTTTTTCCTGTTTTACCAATTCAATTTCTACTCTGATTTTAATTATTTCCTTTCTTCATTTTGCTTTGAGCTTAGTTTGCTCTACTTTCATTGGTTTTGTAAAGTGGACACTTATGGATGAGACATTTCTGATAGGCATTGAAAACTAATTCTTTGCTAAGCTGTGTGTTCATTGCAATCCATAAATTTTCATGTGTTACATTTTCATTTTTCAGTTAAATATTTCTCATTTTTCTCATGTATTTCAGCTTTATTCTTTGACCTATGAGCTATTTAGAAGTGTATTATTTAATTTTTTTTAGTATTTGGAAGTTTACCAGATTTCTCTCTGTTGTCAACTTCTCATAACATTTTGTTATTAAACATACTTTGATTAATTTCCATCCTTTAAGATTTACTGAAGCTTTCTTTATTGTCTAGAATATGCTGTATACCAGAGAAATGTCATTGTGTTCTTTGGTTGTTGGGTGGAAGTTCTTGATTTACAAAGCACTGAACTTATTGATTCTTGCTCAGTTGTATGGTGACTTATGTGGGAAGATTTGCCTGTCTCCTTATTCTGCCATAGGCATGTGGAAGGGCCAGAAACAAAGGAGTGACACGTAATGTTTTGCAAGGTAGAATGATCAGTCTAACCAAAATATGGATGAAGGCCTTTGTAGGACCTGTCTGAAAGCAGAGAGACCAGTTAAAGGCTGTTGAAGTAACACAAGTGAAAAATAATAGGATGCTGAATGGATTGTTGCCAGTAAGATGAAGAAAGGTAAAAGACTTGGATGTTGATATTAAATGCTGAAGCCATGGGTCGTTTTAGTGGCTTGGTTGAGAGGCTATAAGGCCAGA